GCTCCTCCACCACTGCCCGCCAGCAGCGGGTCAGGTTTCTCATGATGCTGCCAGGAAGCCCCCGGGTGGCCAGGGAGCTCCAGTCATGGCTTCTGTTTCTGCCTTCTGTGGAGACAGGGGAAAGGGCAGAGGCAAGGCGGTGGCAGCCCTCAGCTCCTGGGTCCCCATTCGAGGGTGAGCCTGGGGTTCTTTCCTGACATTCTGCCACCCAAAATGATGCTCCCAAGTGGGGGGTGACACAAACCAGAAGATGAACAGGTTGAGCAAGCAGGGGGTGGGGTGAGGAGGGACAGACATCTGTAGTATGTGAGCTGGGGGAGGGAAGGCCCCCAACTGAGCTCCCGCCTGAGCCCCCAGCACTCACTGGGCCGAGGAGCAGCCACCACTGGAGGGGCTGCCTCGCAGGGCTCCACATGCACCAGCAGGTGGGTGAGGCGGCGCACCCGTGAGGAGAAAGCTGCTGCGCGGCTCTGCGGGTTGTGGGCAGCCTCCCGACACTCCAGGTACTGGTCCAGCAACCAGCCCAGGGGGCTGACACCATCCTCATCTGGAGGCGGGGGAAAAACAAGCCAAGGCAGGGCATGTCTCCAGGGCAGTGGGGAAGCTGGACTGGACAGGAGTGCCAAGAAAGAGCAGCAGGACAGAGCGATATGGCAAGGGAGGCAGCAAGGTCCCTCCTGACCATGTGGTGTCAGCTGGCAGCCAGGAGACATGGGAAAGGAGGCAGCCCCTGGGCTGTGAAAAGGGGGCTTGGGGGTACTGAATGAACGCAGGTATCCATAGGGCCAAGAGCCGAACCCAGGTGGCTCTAGGCCAGAGCAAGAGGGGCTGATGAGCAGGGCCGAGCAACGGGATAGTAAAGGGGCCAGGGGCAGGAACAGTTACCGGGGGAGGTGATGTTCTGCACCAGGGGGCTGACCAGGGCCTCCCAGCAGGTCTTGCCCAGTGCTCGGGCAGCTTCACTGTCCGGGAGGAAGCGATCGGCAAAATTCTGCTCCTGACGTAGAGCCCCGTTGAGTCTGGGGAGAAGAGTGGGGAGGAAGGTGCTGGGGGCTGGAGGCCTAAGTGACTCCTGTGTCCACCAGCCTAAGATCGCCAGCTACCGCTCTCACGCACACAGGTACGCACGCACTCACACACACCTAGAGCTCAGGTGCAGCAGGCTCCTGCGGTCCTCCGCGATGTCCTGGCTCCAAGCCTGCGCCCTGACCATGTAGAAGAGGCGTGTGTGGCGACACAGCTGCTCCCGGAACACCGGCCAGAACGTGGGCTTGGGGCCCAGGACCTCTAATCCCCGAATGCGCGTGTCGATGCCACCCTGCAATGTGCAAAGGCCCATTTCCGCGGACCCCATACCCTCCTCAGGAGGGGCTGGAGAGGTAGCCCAAGATCTGCAACGGTTACAGGCCGCAGAGCCTCCTGCCACGGCTGCCCCCCTCCCCCGGCCCCACCTGCTGGCAGCGCTTTATGCGGATCTGGATGACAGGCCAGAAACGGTTCAGGTTCTCCAGGAGGACCACCCGGCTGGCAGAGGGCATCACGTTCACCTGGTGGGGCAGGGGAGAAGAGGTAGACAGAGAGCTGTCATGGCAGGCAGAGAGCGCTGTCACGCGTGTGGATGGGAGTGCTGAAAGAACCCTAGTCTGCTCCTGTTGCCTGCTGTGTCCCTCCCTCCCCCAGCCCTGGGGTGTGCGGGGTCCTGACCAATGCCACCCTCACTGTTCAGGGCCTGATGCTGCCACACGGGCACAGGGATGGCCTTCATCTATGGGGCTCAAAGCAGGGAGGAATATAGGCATTTAGGGGTCTGGGCAGGAGGGTGGATCCCTTGAGGGGTGGCCTAATGGCACAGGGGTCCCTACCGAGTTGAGTTCCGTGTTAAGGGAGGTGGCGCTGTCGCCCCCGAACACCACCACCCTGGCCGGCATGTAGCTTGAGTCTTCGCCAGCCACCAGCAGAGCCAGCTGCCTGGGAGCGGGGCAGAGGGACCAATCGGAACCGGATCCAGTCGTGTTCTCACAGACACAGCCGAGGGGACTCTGGTCACCTTCAGGGGGGTGTGGGTGCTTCCCCAAGACAAACAGCAGGGAAGTCACGGGACAGCGTGGGTGTGTGTCTAGGCACAGGCGTGGAGCACGTTACCTGACGAGGACACCCTGTTGCATGTGTAGGGTGATGTAGTGGGAGCCGGTGCTGCCGCTGGACTCCCAGTAGGTCTTGGGGTTGCGGTCCGTCAGCTTGCTGGCCCGGTGCGGGTTGGAGGACACCTCCACCTTCTCCCAGCACTTGTCCTCCTTCACCTCCACGCTGGAGCCTGCGGGCAGGTGGGAAGGGGTGGCGGTCATAGCCCTGGCAGGTGTGGAGGGAAAACACACGGAGGTGTGGGGACGCGGGGTGACGGGGGGACAGGCACGAACCCTGGCACAGGTATCTGAGGAACACATCAAAGAAGGGGATGTTGATGGGGCGGTGCGTTCGTCTGTGGTCTTCGATCTGGCCCAGCACCATCTGCAGCCCAGACATCGGAGAGAAGGGGTGCGGGGAGGGGGCAGGAACATGGAAACACACGTGGAGGAAAAACCCCAGCAGCAGCGGGACTAACTCCGTAACACTGGCAGAGCAGGACCAGCTGGGAAAGCGGGGCCAGGAACAAACGCCCCCAGATTCACTAGATTCACCTGCCTTCCAACTTCAGGAACACAGCCCCTTCCCGTGCCACTGCTTGGGTTTCATACTCTTACCCAGCTGTGAACCCAAAGGCTTCCCCCTGCCCTTCCTCCTGACCTGGATACAGCCTCCCAGGATGTTGGTGGTGAGTTTCCGGTAGAGGTGTGCATGCTTCTCACACTTGAACACCATGTCCCGCAGCTCCTGAGCCAGCTCCAGCTTTCCCAGGTGCTTTTCCAGGGCTTTGGAGATGGCATCTCGGGCTCCCAGCTGATTCAGCACCACGGCATAGTCCCTGCTCACCGAGGCCAGGTGGTGCAGGAAGAGGATCAGCTCCTGGAGCACCTGGGAAGGAGGCAGGAGGAGGTGAATAAAGGGGACAGACCACAAGCGTCTTCAGTAGTGCTGACTACACACCTACTGTGTGCTGGGTGCCAGGGCTACTGCAGTTCACAGAGTGAGGAAGTAAAAAGACAAGGATGAGGAGACATGAGGGCTCGGTGGAATTAGAGAACCAAACAAACTGCAATGGAAAAGCCAAGCCCCCTGGACCCTGGGGTTCTTGCAAATTGCAATGGAAAATGGTTCTTGCAAATGGTTCTTGCAAATTGCAATGGAAAAGCCAAGCCCCCTGGACCCTGGGGTTCATTGCAAACTGCAATGGAAAAGCCATGACCCCCTGGACCCTGGGGTTCTTGACTACTGATTACGCTGGCAATAGGTGCAGGGGGCATCCCCAGTTGTCTCTTTTCAGGCCCAGCTGTCCCAAGAACCGGCTGTGGGGCTGTGTTATGAGATGCTCAGCCCCCAAGCACAGACACCTGACAGCAAACAGGGGGCGGAGAGGGACCAGATGTATGTGTGGACACTCAGTAAGCCCACCACAGAGCTAAAATCTGGGTAGCCGCCAAAGGTGTGTGCTGCAGACACCCACTGCCTCCATGACCCTGGTTCTCTGACGGCTTCCCAAGCCTTCTGTGCCCAGGAGCACTCTGTGGCAGGGGACTCTGGGATGTGATGGTCCCCTCTGCCTCCTTCACCCCCCTTTCCTTCACAGGCCCAGCCAAACAGGAGCCACTGAGGCTCTTAATGTAGTATAGATATCATCCTTTATGTAACAAAGAATATGGCAAATAAGATCCCCCATTTGGGTTATATTTGCATAATAAAATACAGGAAAGATACATAAATTAATACAAATGGTTAACAATAAGGGGCATGTGGGTGGCATTGGGAGGACAGGGACTCAGGTGGGAGTGAGAATTTTGTTTCTACCTTGTTATATTGTTTTGATTTGTGAACTGTGTGAACATACGACCTATTTTTAAAACTACAATTCAATTTTAAAAACGAAACCCAAACCAAGAGCACAAAAGGCTCCATGGTGCCCTCTCGAGCCCCGCCCAGGGGGTCTGCTTTGCCAGAAGCTGCCTGGCATCCTCCCCCTCTCAGCATCTCCCCAGGGCAGGGCAGGGGTACCTCTCGGTCAGTGTCTGGGGACCGCAGGCAGGCCATGCAGGCGTCCATGGCCTCATGCCAGGGGAGCAGCAATGCCTCGGGAAAGTCCACCAGCCGCATCAGGATTCTGGGGAGCAGGGGGCAGTAGGAGAGAGATGTGCAGCCTGCCTCAGAGACCCCTCTGCCCAGCACCGCCCCTCACCACCCCCTCACCTCAGAACGGCCAGGTGCAGGGCCTTGTTGGCCACAGGAGTGTCAAGGCTCCGCATCAGCGTGAGGAAGGGCTGGGGCTGCCGCTGCAGTTGCAGCAGAAGTGGCTTGACCTCGCTCTCCCGTGGCCCATCTGAGCTGAGAGCTTGCTCCAGATCCAGGAAGATTTTCCCAGCCAGACCGTAACCCTCCACCAGATGCTGCAGGGGAGTGTTGGCGCACTGAGTCGGGGCTTCTTTTGCTACAGGAAAGGGGAAGTCACAAGAGTTGGCCATTGTTAGTGACGTGAAAGATGATGAAAGGAGAGACATTCATGACTCTCAACTCTTGTTTCCTCATTTCTCCTAAAAATAGTTTTAATTTTTTCCCCCTAAACGCCAGGTTTTGGGGATCTCATAGCATCTCTTAATGTTCTTTTTTTTTTTTTTAGCGGTACGCGGGCCTCTCACTGCTGTGGCCTCTCCCGTTGCGGAGCACAGGCTCCGGACGCGCAGGCTGAGCGGCCATGGCTCCGCGCACATGTGGGATCCTCCCGGACCTCTTAATGTACTTTTAAGACAGCTTCATGACAAACTTTTTATTTTGTATTCTTAAAATAGCAAAGGAGGGCTTCTCTGGTGGCGCAGTGGTTGAGAGTCCGCCTGCCGAAGCAGGGGACACGGGTTCGTGCCCCAGTCCGGGAGGATCCCACGTGCACGCGGAGCGGCTGGGCCTGTGAGCCATGGCGGCTCAGCCTGCGTGTCAGGAGCCTGTGCTCCGCAACGGGAGAGGCCACAGCAGTGAGAGGCCCGCGTAACAACAGTGAGAGCCCGGCACCCCCAAAAAAAAAAAAAAAAAAAAAAAAAGCAAAGGAGCTTCCTATCTGCAAATAGCAGAGCATTTCCCTATATCTGGAAGCATGCAATCATCTGTTTTTCTCTTCAATAGAAAAAATTCAATGTGAGGGCTTTCAAGGCTTCAAATTTCTTGCAATGTTCTAACTTGACACTCTCCTTCATACTTTGGAGGGAAGACGATGTCTGTTTCTCCATTCACTGCTTATCTCGAAATTTCAGATTCTTCCTAAAGTGCCATCTCTTCCAGAGAGGACTGCACAAAAACCAGCACAGATATCTCTCCTGGGCTAATGCCCTCCCAGAGGCCAGTGTGCAGAGCTGCTGTCTGTTTGGCACCCCACCTTCCACTCTGGCTGCATCTGCTGATTCCTGAGGCTGGGCCTGGGCTTCCAGCAGGGATGGGTAGGCCAGCTGCCCTGCCAGGGCCTCGAGCCCATATTTCCTGTAGACATGGCAGTTGAGCAGGTCCCTGAGAGCGCTGTCATCGAGTCGCTGTGGCAGAGCCAGCATCAGGTCCTGGGCCAACTCCATGGGCACGGCCAGCTCGGCCAGGATCTCATCATCCAGAATCTGTCATCGGGGAGAAGCTCTCACTGCAGGCGGCTCTGCCGGCGCAGAGGCTCCGGAGGCACTTGCCAGGGGAAAGGAGTTCTGCATACACCTTCTCCATCCCCAGTCTCCCATGGGGGCTCCTCCCACACAGCTCACCAACATCTCCGAACATCCTAGACCCCTCCCCTGCAGCCCTTATGCTATCACCCTCCACTTCCCATCCCGAGCTTTCCAAATGCTCTGTCACAGTCCAGCCCTCCAACCTCTGTGTGTCTCTGGGCGGCTCTACCTCCCCATCCAGGTTCTCCTGGAGAATCTGGAGAACCTCCTGATGGTCAGGTCCATCCAGCTTCTTGATGAAGAAGAGGAGCTCCCACCACTCGGCCTGGCTCAGGTGTTCGCTCTCCTCAGCGTCCTCATCCTCAGGCAGCACGCAGGGCACGGCGTAGAGCTCTGCCATGGGCTTCCACCGCCAGGAGGGCAGGGCTGTGGAAATGACAGGGGCACAGGGACGTCACTGCCCGCCCAGCCAGACCGCCACTCCTCTGCACAGAGCTGATCCCCGCTTCCCCTCTGGGCTCACCTACACCCACAGCTCCACTGACCGCTGCCCCCTGGTACTCATCAGCCTCACCCACGTCTTCGATGTCTTCTTTAAAGCCCAGAATCTCCAGCATGTGCCAGTGTACCCAATAGGTGCGGCCTGTTGACTCCCACAACACCTGGGGGATGTGGGAAAAAAGAGAGGGAAGGGGAAGAGAGCTCACCTAATGACCGGCTGTGGCCCGATGATGAGGACACACAGCCCTCACAGCCCTCAGGGTGATCACCTGGCCAGGTTTGGAAACACCTCTAAAGAGCAAAACCTGTGGTATATGGAGAACACATACACGCACACAAAGGATGCCTTCCCCAAACGGGAACAGGCTCTCTCCCCTCACCTATCCTTCCTTGGTGGCTTATGCCCCATGCTTCCTCCTGGCCTTAACCACACTGTCTTCCTGAACTTGACCTTTGGGATGGTCTTGCTGTATCAGTCTTCTTCCTGGGAGTGAGTCCTCCTGACCTCAGAGTCTCCTAAAGGCAGATTTTCTCAGCCCTCCAAACGGCTCCCCTCTCAATTGCTGACCCCCTTTTACCATACCCAGCTTACTGAGGGTTTTCGCTTTGAGTGGGCTGCCAAAGGCCCCAGCTTGAAGCCCCAGCTATGCCCCACCCAAGACAGACCCCGAACGGTGGCCCGCCACCGCGCTCTTGCTCACCTGCACAGGGGGCACGCCATTGTTGCTCTGCCGGAACTCGCCCTCGTCCCCGGCACTGATCTCCTCGTAATCGTCCAGCATCCGCACTCGCATGCCCGGCTGCAGCGTGTCCCGCACGTACAAGGCATAGGTATTGCCACTTGCGAACTCAGAGCGAGGGCGAAACCGCCTTGACCTCCTAAGGGAGGGCAGGGCCTGGGAGGGTGGGTGCCCTGGGCCTACATCTGCCAGCTGGGGCTGGAAGATGGAACAGGAGGGCCGTGCTGAGGGCCCCTGTCTGCTCGAGGCCCAGTCCCAGCGCATGGCCTGTACCAGCTCCGAGATCAGGGTGCCCATGGCCATGCTGAACTCCAGCTCCAGCCGACCCCTCTCCCCACTCAACTCCTCGGGAGTGGAGCTCTGGGCTCCTGGTTCCACAGCACTGTCATTCAACTGATCCAGGAGGGAGGTGACGTGCAAATAGCGCTTCACCAGGGAGAAGAGCAGCCTTCCTGGGACCTGTAGGACACAATCTTTGGCCTATGTCCCCCTTGCTCCAGCTTTAGTGCCTCTCTCCACACTGTCTTCTGTGGACAGGTGCAAAGGCCTGATCCCTAGATTTTGTCCACAGCTCCCTCCCAACACTCCGCACAGAATACCTGTGGCAGCTGAATGCCCTCGAAAGACATGGGATGTTCAGTGAGCGTGGCCTGTGCAAACAGTGCCAGCAGAGCACAGCGGCTGTCAAAATCCAGGTGTTTCTCAATGGCCTCCTGCTGGCTCAGTGACAGAAGGATCTGGGTCCGGGTCCCTGTAACCCACACCCCAGTCAGTAACAGCTCCCTAACCTTGCCCTTCCCAGGCATCTCTCTTAGACGCTCTACTCTCTCACTCCTTCTGCTGCCACACACTAAGAATGACATGATTTGCTGATTTGCTTCAAAAGCCAAAACTCACCATCGTATCCCATCCTATTACTGTCTCATATGCAATAGTCTAATAGTCTAAACTCTTCCTCTGCACAGAAAGACAGTTAATAGGAAGTTCTTGAGGATTCAGTCTCCTGTTTCTGCCGAGATGCCCACACTCACCTTCCCACCTCCATTTCTTCCAATCCTAAGACAAGGGCAACAGAATCATTTATGTACTGATGAGATCAGAGGCTTCTGTCACAGGGACCTGTGAGACGCTAAGCTGACCCAGTCCCTCTCCTACTCCCCTTTCCTCCCCACACTGCCCCTCACCAGCATCATGGGAAGCCAGGGCTTGTATCATCCGTCCTGCGCTCCAGCGAATTTGGTAATCGGGACTACTGAGCATGTGCATGAGCAAGTCCAGGACCCTTGGGTCTTTGAAGACCCCCGTGAGGGGCTCAATGCTGGCGTAGGCGCTGAGCACATGAACAGTGTGAAGCAGAGGGGCGGGAGGAATGGTGCCCTCACATTCCTCCAGCTGCCGAAGGGCCCTCTGAATCAGAGACTTCACATCGGTTTCCATCTCCCCCAGCACAGATTTGTCCAGGGCTCCAGCCTCCCCTGCTGTCTCCTGGGAGGGCCCGATGACCTGGCCATCTTCGCCTAGCATCTTGTGGCAGTTGGCATAGATCTCGTCATTGGACATCCATAGCAGGATGTGCTCAGCCTTGCAGTCCACTTGGTTAGAACCCCCTTCCCCGTCATCCCCACGCCGGAGGATGAGCCAGCGGATCTGGTACTCAGGATGCCCATCATGGCCCACTCGCTGGCGTATCAGCTCATCAGGATAGGCATGCAAGCCGGGCCCCAGGGGCACCCTGAATTCCCTGTAGCGGAGTTCCCCCACCATCCTGGCACCTGGCAACACAAGGAAAAGAGAATAGGCAAGCTAGAGTGAGAGGGGAGGTCAGAAAATCAAGGGTACCCAGAAGCTGGGACAGCAAATGTGGCAACAGCTGTCGGGCTGGGTGGGGTAAAGCAGGGCCCAGGAGTTGCCTGCTGCATGCTGGGTGGGGCCAGGCCTAAGCAGAGGGACACTGGGGTGTTTGTTCTGAAAGAACTCAAAATCTGGGGGCTAAAAGGAGGGTCCAAGGCCCTGCATGCAGCATGGAGCGAGTTGGTTTGGAGCAGAGGAAAGGGGACAGTGGAGGCAGGGCAGCCTTAGAATTAAAGTGAATCCCAGGGCCCTGGGACAGGCGGCAGCAGACCTGAGAAGGGGGTATGCGAAGCCCAGAGGGGTGTGTGTGTTTTGGGGAGTTGGGGATCGAGACCCCGAGTGAGTATGGGAAGGGGTGCTAGCTCCAGTGATTGAAGCATCGGAGAGTGAGTCTGCAGGGGCAAAAGACCCAGAGACCTGGTGGTGGAGTGAGGGCGCAGGGCGCGACGGGCTGGGAGAAGGGGCTGGTAGGCTGGAGGCGCCCAAGATTGGAGGCGCTTAAGCAGCAAGGCCAGTGGGGGCGACGTGAGGCCCCGAACAGGGTGCACAGGACACCCGATGGGTGAGGGGCGCGAGGCTTGTAGGACCGGGGTCGAAGACAGGAGAAGCCAGGGGCGCGCGGCAAGGTGCGGGGGACGGGGCTAGGCCAGATAAACAAGAATCCCGAGGCGCGGCGGAATCGGGGGCGCGAGGCCCGGTGGGCGAGTGGGCGGAGGAAAACCCGGGCTCGGGGCGGGGGGCCGCGACGGGGCTGTGGCCACCTCAGAAGTCGATGGGGGTCCCGGCGTGAGGCCTGTCCTTCGCCGAGCTAAGAACGCGGCGCAGACTATGGCGGCGGCGCTGGCGGAGATTTGGGCCCCGCCTGGGCCCCCCGAAGGGGTCGAGGCGGAGAGGCGGGAGGGGGCGTGTTTCCGCAGGACAGGCGGCCGCAGGGGGCGTGCCGCGCGGGATCGAACGCCTTGGGGGCGTGGCGCTGTCAGCTCCGGGCCTGCGCGCAGGTCTGCGGCCTCCGGGGCCTGGCAGGGCGGGGCCTGTTCCCAACCAGCGGCGCCGCCCGCCTAGCTCAGGGGGCCCGTCGCCCGCCCGCCACGAGCCGCCGCTCATTTCCGCCAGGCCCAGCGGAAAGCTAGGGGCCCTGGGAGAGCGCAGGGGCGGAGCCGCCGGTGCCACCTCGGCGACGCGCGGCACCTCCTCCTCCGCCCTTTCCGTCCCCCTCCTCCTGGCACCGGAAGCACCTTCCCCGCTTCCCAAAGTCAGAATTGGAAAAGACTTTGGAGGTCATTTATTACCCCCTCCTCCATTACATATAAAGGCACGGAGCAAGGTGGGGCGGGAGCACTGGAAATGAGAGGGGAACGGCCCGTTTTTGCCCCATACTTTTCTTTCCTTTCTCCTTCTGCCAACGGTAGTTTGCTTCTGTCCCCGCGGCCCACCCCCTCCATCCAGTATGTACCTCCTCCCTCCCAAAAAACCCAGAAACAGGTAAAAATGGGGGCCATTTTATTAGAGTCCAGGAATATCATCTTTGGGCAGCAGCTGAGGGCAGCTTCACGTAACTCTTCATGGGGGGCAGTGGCCGGATCTTTCGGCCAGCCCAGCCCCCCTTGCGGTGCCATCGCCCACTGTTGGGCCTCTTTCCCAGCCAGCGGTTCCGCCCGGCTTTGCCGATGACCCGTTTGTTATGATCAACGTTGGATACTCGGCCCACTGTTGCTATGCACGTTTCCAGCACCTGACAGAAAAAGCAGATGGAGGGGAATGCACCATGGGGGGAAAGAGCCTGACATTGTTGAGGGCATGGACTCTTGGGAGACTTCTTACACTCAAGGAGAGAAGGGAGAGGAGAGGGGGAAAACACAACATAATTGAACCTGAGTGCAGGTCCTACAGTAGTTGAAAACAGAAGGCACTGTTCCCTACTCCATCATGGTGCCAGCCTGACAAGGCACGCCTAGTCACATGGCAGAAAAGGACAGACCCAGCTCGAGGCAGTTCTCAACATAAAACACCTGGGAGCTATCCTGGACAGGTTAGGTACATTCCAAAAACTCGTCCCTCGCTGATCCCTCCCACCTGCACCCCACACACACCTGCATCTGCCTCTTAGAGGGCAGCTGGATGATGGCTGTCCCATTCACCTTCCGTAGCAGCACACCACAGGTCCCTGGGAAAGGGAGAAACAGCTTTGCAACCCTCCATAGAGCAGGAGGTGGGGGGCAGATTTCCAAGGGGCCACACCCCACACATTTTGAGGAGGAGAAACACTGAAGCAGGATGCATGTAAGGTTTTAGGTCAAAACACAAGCACCTCTTCAGCCTTGTTTTTCCTTCTTTTTCTCTGCCATTGGACCAGATGTGGGCCCATGGGTTCAGAGAGTTGCAACCTCAGGTACCCCTTGGCCTTCCAAACTGTACGATCCCAAGCAGCTCCTTTCTTCATACCTGCGGCTCGGATATACTGGGCCCCCCGGCCTGGCTCACTCTCCACATTGTTGATGAGGGTCCCCACTGGCAAGGCCCCAAGAGGGTGTGCATCCCCTTCCCGAGCAGCAACTAAAAGACAGAATTTCATGAGCACCAGAACCCTTGGAGCTTCCCAGGCCACACACATCTGGCGGCCATCTCTCACCTGCCATTCGGCCTATATGGTCAGAGTTCAGGATTGTATCTCCAGCTTGCATGTTTTCTGTGGCAATGATCCAGCGTTTCCGGTTGCCCCCAGCAACCAGAGCTATGTCTGCTGACCTGTTCAGAGTGAGGCACAGGTAAGCAGACCATCTAGGCAGCCTCACATCTCCTGAAAAGCCACAGAGCAGTCATTCAGCCATACCACCACCTCACATCCCAAACTTGCCTACAGGGATCATAGCGGACAGTGATGACCTTCTCCTCAAAGGGTCCTGGCTTGGATTGCTGCTCAGGCCGGAACCGCAGAAAGTCAATCATTCGATAACGTTGCTTGTGGCCCCCACCAATACCGTGAACTTGGATTCGGCCTGTGGTCAGGACAGTGCAGGGACATGACCCCGGTCAGACGAGTCAGTTCCCAGCATTGGGAACAGACCCATCCTAGGCAGAGAGCAGCACTCCCCAACATTATGACACAAGCAGAAAATGATAAAAATTTGCACAGCACAATGGGGTCAGGGTGAACACCTACATGGAGCTTGGTAAAAACATAATTATGATACTGAAATTGTATAAAACATCCAGATAAAATTTCTACAAATTACTGAATTCAGTAAGTTTACTGAGAGCCATGTAACTCGTGTTCAATTTCAACTATTGTCAATTTTTGAAGGGTGTGAAGAGAAATGTCATATAACTTCCTGAGTATGTCCAGTTTTCTTCAACTACCTACATTATCTTTATAAGCACAGACCACTTGTTTGTTGCTTTGTATTCTACTCTCTCACTCTTACACACATACTACATGCAGAAGGAGTCCAATAAATGCTTTTTAATTACATTCCTCTGCCTGTATCAAAATACAGGCCTAGGATCCTACCATGTTTTTGCCCTTTACTGCTGAAATCTTCTTGTCCTTGCTCCCACCTGTGTGGTTTCGGCCCCCAGACTTCCTCATCTTCACTGGCATAACGGTATACTTGGTACGACTCTTCCAGGACACAAACTTAGCACTAAGGGCCACAGAGGTAAGGACTGGGCGGCAGGGAAGCAACATCGAGGGAGAGGGCAGCGGAAGGAGGACATTGTTTGTCACCTAGAGATAAACAGAAATCTCTTTCACTTGAAAGCTAATTGAAGGAAAAGCTTCAGAGAACCAAGGGAGAGGGCACAAAGTTTAGCTTGTAGCCTCCTTCCCCCTGGAAGTCCCAGACCAGCTATCCAAAAACTCCACCCATCACAGCTTGCACAAATACCAGTTCGGAATGTTCATCTAGGTGTATGTGTGTTGATTACCTCTCCTCATCTGATCCTCTCACCTCTCAAGTATTTCTTCAATGGAATGTTCTCCCCTTGGTGCATCTTCTTCCAAATTTGGCTCAAAACTCTTCTTCTCCAAGAAACTTTTCCTTCCCTAAACAACTCCCTTCTCCAGGGCTGGTAACTTCCATACACCCATGTACCACCATTGGCATCAATGCCTTTTGCCCATTTTGCTGCATGTTTCTGAGAGTTTTTCAGATATGAATAGAGGGGAGAGATCATTTATGTCTTGTTCCCTGCTGAATTCCCAGCACTTCACAAAGTAGGCTGGTTTGGTTTTGAATTTTAAGTATGCATCTGCCAAACTCTACCATAAGTCTGAAAGGTCCAGGGGAGGTAAGACTTAACTTCTCTTTTCTGTAACTCACCAGTCACCCACTAGGAACCTTGAGATATCTTCATGTTAGGCTCCTATTCTTGGTATCTTGCCCTGAATTCTCTAATCTCAGTAGTAACTCATCCTTAATGGTTATAATAATGGTTAAGAGCCTAGGCTTTGAAGCCAGATTACCTAGCTCCAATGGTTGGTGTATGACCTTCGACTACTTATGTTTTCTCATATGTAAAATGGGAATATAATAAATAATTTATAAAGTGATTGAAAGGAATTCATTTATTTAAAACGTCTATTACTTATGCTTGGCTTATGAGAGACAATAAATGTTAGTTATTATTGAAACCTGTACATTTGTCTGTAAAGCACTTTCACCTCCAGTATCTTGTGTGAGGAATCCAGGGACCCTGTGAGATAGCAACACAGAGGAGAAAACTGAGGCTGAGAGTGACTTATCCAAGGTCACAGGCCGGCGTGACTCCTAACCAGACTCGCACCCCCCACCTCGCTTCTCCTGGAGCCCCCTCTCCGGCTGCCCGAACGGAAACAGCCACATTCCCGGGTAAGGTGGATTACCTGCGCGGCCAGGAGCAGGCTTGGGCCGGGGACGGCGGCAATCCGGGGCGTCAGGCTCAGACAGCCAAGAGCGCGGGTCAGTGCCCGCAGGGCCATGAGCTGGGCCAGGCTCGGCTGGGCTCAGCACGCCACCATTACCTTTAGCCAGGCCGCCTGGTACTACTGGATGACTCTAACAGGTCCCCGTTCTGTCGCTCCTTAATGACGTAAAAAGAGGCGGTCAGAGAACCCGAGACAAAGCTGGACACACACCTCTTACGCTCCCTGCTCGCTGTAGAGCCAATCCCCGGGTGGCTCTTAGGTCGCGTGACTGTGGAACAGGCCCCGCCCCTTAGAGCCGTCAAAACAATTGCCTCGAGCGGCAGCCATGATGGATTTAAAGGCGCAGTACCGGCAAGAGCGGCAGCCAGACCCACGGACTGCGGGTGAGTCTTTGAGGGTACCTCTGGGGCTGAGAGTTGAAGTCCCGCTACCTCGTGCCTGCACTCCCAGACAAATGAACAAATGAGCCCCTCCGACCGAACTTACACAACTCCAGTCAGCCTTAAAAACTCCGCCCCGCCCCCGCGATTCTTCCCGCCCCTCGGCGTCCAGACAGAGGGACAGACGGCCTGCCCCGCCCCCTGCGCTACAGACTGACTCAGTGACCTCGGGATTGACAGTCCCGGGTCCTCGTCCGTGACGCGGACCTCGGCCGTCCATCACCACCTCCCGTCACTCCTGCCCATCTCACTCTATCCCCACCCTGGGCCTCAGGGCAGGTCGACAGCCTGGGACACTTCTCCACCGCATTCCCAGGCCCGGGAGACCAGCTCCCAGCGCCGCGTTTCCCTGTGATCCCGCAGCCGCTCAGCAGACTTGCCGTTCTTCCCTGCATCATCGGGCGTCTGGGAGGTACCCTAAGGTGACTCCTCTCAGAGCCTGTTAGTATGTGATCATGATAGACACAAAACCATAGAAATGACTGGGCTAGGAGTGACCAGGTCTTCCTCCTCACCCTTTCCCAGACACGCCCCTTGCCGCAGGTCTCAGATCAAATCTCACTCC